TGCAAAAGTATCATCAAACTCCAGGCGCCAAAATGATTCGTCAACGATACCTGCGGCCGGCGCTGATAAGCTGAGCCCAACAAATCCCTGGGAAATCCCTGGGAAATCCCTGGCTGAACGTAGGAGAATGTAGGGAAATATAGGGAAAATCGACATTTTGGAAATGATGGTTCCATAGGGAATATTAGCGAATCATCGGGAACATAAACAGTTGATAACTATGCAAAAACATCGTATATATATAATCTAGAATATCTTATATACACATAAGAACTAAGGTACCATGGCTTATCATAGGTTTTTGCCCACTCAATTACCGTTCAATTGTATATCGTCATTTTTTTTTGCAAAACAACAAATTAGGGTGGCCCAGTTGATGCATCAATCCCAACAATACACCAAAAAAATAGTAGCACTTCTACATTATGTGGGGCCCCCTAGATAGCTAAGTCGGTGCAAATAACTCTCACAACTATGGTTTGTAACACTAATAACTAATTATAGGTAATGGGGTTTATAAACCAACCTATAAGTGGGGGGGGCAAATTCTAGGGCTTGTCAAAAAGTGAGGGGGTACAGCAATTTATGGCCATGTCAATGAGAAAAATAAGGACAAACATGGACAAACTAAGGATGGAATTCAGCTAGGGGTCTACTGTCGTCTGTCATCCCTCAAAAGAAGTAGTCACGGCCTGATTTTTCACCCGCTAATCTAAGCTGGCAACGGCCAGCTAAAAACCCTATCTCAAAGCAAAAAAATGGAGCAACATCATGCATATAGTAATCCCCAAAAAGATAGAACAGTCAAATCCCACTAGAAAAGTTACAGGCAAATGTCGTGTCTATCTTCGGTTACGAAAAAAATAAATAAATCGGACCCAACTTCACGCTTCACGACGTGCTGCTGTGGCTTTCCAGCAGCATTTCAGGATTGATCATGCCCGAGGCAGAAGGAATCAATGGATCTCCGAAGGCAAGGGATGCACAGCTGCATGATTGAAATTGGCCTAAGATCTCCATCGATTCCTCGGCGGAAAAAATAAAATGAAACCCAAGACCAGAATGGGATCTGGGACTACATGAAAATCGGCGAATATGGATTGATATAGGATAATAGTGGGATAGTAATGAATGGTTAATAAACAAATAGATAATTATGGGATAACTATATATATATTATAAATAAAGAAACCATCCCCCAATAAAGGTTTATCGTTTGGTATACCCTGGGATGATGTAAAATGAACGAACGTCGCCTGTTGCAATGATCAGTTCCATTGGGAATCCAACAACCATGTGGGGCTTCAATAACTATGGTTTGTGATCACGTATAACTATAGGTAATCTATAGGTAATAGGGTATATATAAATGTATATAAACCAACTTAACACTGAGGGGGCCGGGGGCCCCACATTGTAGATAATGATGTTTTCCTTTTTGCGATTATTTGATGTCTTCCTCCATCTTCCAATCTTCTATCATAAGACTCATTTTTTGTTTGTCATTGGCAACCGAAGAAAGGAGGACCTCAGCATATGTTTGTGCCCAGAAAACTCCTAGCAAGCTTCAAACAAAGTACCTTCACCATCAATTTCCCGTTAAAGACAGGCAAAAAAAACATATTGGGGGAAAGTCCTAATATGTTTGTTCAGTTTTACTCTTTTGTTTGAAGATCACATGTCAACAAGCCAATGTTATGGTTCCTCACTTCCTTGTTTTTTGTAGGTTCAGATGGGGAAACCCCAAAATGGGTTGATACTCCAAAATGATCCAAAATGGTCATTTTAACATCTCGGAAATGACTGTCACAACCTTAAGATTGTTGTTTTCGAATCCCAACATTTTCAGAGAAACCCGTATTGTATCGTTGGTTAAACATCCTACATGTTATATAATTATATATAAATACATATATATATATATATATTAATATAAAGTTCTATATAATTAGATAATTACATATGTACTTTCTGAGGAAGTATGTAAGGTATGATTTGAAGGGTTAAATACCTTCTCAGGGAATACTTGGATCATCTTGGATCCATAGGATGGAACATACATATCCACATAAACATCATAAACTGCTTGAAGAATTAAAAAACACGGCCCCAGCTTCGCTTTCAGCATGGCTAATCTCCAGTAGATACGGCCGCTCACTGCAGTCCTGCAGGGCCAGTTGTGGCAATTGCAACGAGACGGGCCGCGACAGCCAGCAGAGATTGCGCCAAGCATGGAGGGGGAGGAGCCAACTGGATTGGATGCCCATGTGTGGTGAGGACAAAGACAAGTAATGGCCTAAGATGGCCGGCGGGAACTGAAAAGAACATCCTTTTGTGGGAACTTTTCGAGTCAACCGTTGTGGGGTTGTTGTTGTTGACGTTGTTGACCGATGTGTTAGGACTTTTGGTGGAAACCCAAGCAATATACAGGGGAGAAAGTTTGTCAATGAGCGATGCAAGCCTCAACAGTGGAGGATCAAACCTTTGGATCTGCCGGAAAAATCTACATCGATGAACAGTGGGTGAATGTTCATTGAGCAGTGTTCATTGAGCCCCTGTTGGTTGATTGTTAATCCAAGATTCTAAGATATTGGGGAATGGATGGGAATGGTTAATTGATGTTAATAGTATAGCTGATTGTTCCATTTCTGGATAATTCTGGATATATACATCCATTCTATGGCAACAAGCCACTCACTTACCAGTTACATCCAGTTACCAAGCCAGAAATCCCAGATACCCAAGTCCACTGAGTCGTCGAAGTTCTCCAACAGGCTGGGAAGGGCCCCCCGAATGATGAGCCCACCCATGGAATGCCCAATGCAATGCAGCACGATGCGACTTCCTGGCCGTTGGCCTAAAATTCAATCGACCGTTTGCATCTGGAGATACCACCAATGATATCCAACTGGAACATCCAACTGTGTTTTCAGGACCTACAATCAGCGAGGCTTTTTGAGGATCAAGAAAAAATGTCGAAACTGGCTCTTGGATCAACTGAACCCGGCTTTTGGAGCAACAACTCTGAATCTTTGATCAACAAAAACGAGGTTCTTAAGGGAAAAAGACACCAACTCATCCTACTTCCCGGAGAATCATCATGCATCATTGTGCATCATCTATATATATATACAAGATATACAAGACCGCTAAACCCATGTTGAGGAGTGCTTGTAGAGGGAAAGGATGAACGACAATTCCATTCCGCTCCAGCAGGTCTCCACCATTTCCAGCGTTGGTGGAGACCTAAACTCACGGATTTTAGCGTCGTGATGTATCCCATGCACGGTTTCTTGAATTTCAATTGCATCTAGACAAGGCATGACAAGGCCACAAATCATCAAACATCTGGGGACATTACAATATATCACTAGCCTGAAATAGCTGAAATAAGGATATTTGGAGATAGTTACCCCTTATTGACCATCATTCCAACCATGATTCAAGGGACCAACAAAGAAAAACAGAACAAGGGGAGGAAAAACCATATATCCCTCCTGTTGTACTGTTGATATGTTCTGGATGGTTACGAGTTACAAAAGATTATGATGTATATAATATGTAATTGTATGTATATATATATGATACTTCAAATAATATAAAATATGATGTATGAATAATTATGATGTATATAACTTATATTAACTTATACAACTTCTATATTATATATATACGTATATATATAATTCTGCCCAATAAAGCAGGTAGTAAAACTTACTCTCATAACTGAACTGCAGGTTTTTCCCATCCAGCGATCCACCGTTCCTGGAGAACTGGCTTGCGTCCCTCGGACCACCTCGAAGATTTCGGCTGCGGCCATCTTGGACAACTCGCGCAAGTCCCTCCCCATGAAGCTGGAGGCAGCTCGCAGCTTCTGCAAGGGCCATAGGACCCAATCCGGGAAGCGCTGGCTCAGAATTTCTACCCACGTTTGCCAGTCTGCGTCCTTGGAGGCTGTGGATTGCCGAATTACCACCATCGATTCCCTATTGAAAAAATGCAAAAGATACATCAAGAAGCAAAGCCAGTGGAAAAACAGAGGACAAAACAACTGGGAAAAAAAAACAGCAAAACTTCTTGAAAAAAGCAAACTCCAAGCATCACTACCTCCCATGCCATGCACCATGATGCACAGCGGAATGCTGCCAGTCATCTCGGGCGTCTCGCTCTCTACGCCCAGCTCGCTACGGTTTTTCTCGCCGCAGATCGTGGTGGGGGTCACGTGGCGCGAAAAGCTCTGCTGTTCGTCCATCAGCGAGTTGAGAATTGAAATCAGTGAAGCGATTTCTTCCAAATTTAGGATGCAGCCGGGAAAGTATGTATAAATCTTGCCTGAGGGGGTGTTTTGGGCATGTTTTTGGATGTTGTTGCTTCAATATAAATGTCTGTGTCCTCATGCAGCTATGGATGGGGCGGCAAAAAGCAAACTACCCCCCCAACTATTGACACCTGTCCCCCTTTTTACGTATCTTAGTGTGTTGTACTTAGACCCTCCAAGTATCCATAAAAAATTGCAAAAGTTCCCCAAAAACAATGGGTATACAACGGTATACCAGATTTTCCAGGCGGTGGAGGGTCGAGGTAGTTTGAATATATTCATGGATATGTGGATATATTTGACACATAGAATAGTCTAGATATTTCCATGTTAATCTCTTGGAGCGTTGCCTTGTTTCAACAGGCAGCTCCATGAGCCTCTTCACGTGGCAGAGTCGACCAGTCAACTCCCAGCCGATGCAAAGCAAAAAGAGAAGGCCGTGCTATGCTATGCGGGGAAGAAATTGAACACATTCTTATAGTATCTTATATAGTCATATAGTATCATATAGTATTCATATACCATCATATAGTCATAAATTATCATAAATTCATGTTTCTCCGAGTTTCTCCTATTCTGTCTGAATAAAACAAAATGACACACAGTATTTCAATGATGTTCAATGTATTTCACCTTATTTCACCACCAAGTTTCGTTGGAACACAGAACACCCCAGAAATTTCTGGCCGCTTTTGCACCAGGAGTTGGACTCCGCGAGCCGCGAGCCGCGACCTCGGCCTCGCGAACCCAGCATTGCTTAAGGACGTGAGCAAAATCGGAATTTGAGCACCCAAAATGGGGAGGCTTTATGAAAGGTAAGTTGAAACAACCGTGTTCACTTAGTTAACTGTGTTTTGATATCTACGGTTGGATGTGTGAAGTGAAACTAAACCAACTCAAAACCCCTTCCGTCAATGGGCTTCAGAGGCATGTTTGGATACCTTTCTGAAGCCACTGAAGGCTGGTCATTTGCTTTCTCCACCCAGCCATGCCGGGGGGTTCTACCTTGGAGCCCCAAATGGTCTTGGCCTTGGACCAACACTACCAGGATGTCAGCCAATGAGGCAACATCATTTACCCACATCATCCATTGTTGCCTGCTGAAGCTCACAATGTGTGATTCATTTTTTTTTTCACATGTTGCTACTGAATCTACTGAACTCCCAATTGTTTGGTTGGCTTTGACTCCTCCACTTTGGGACTTGACCGACAATCATCACCCTACTCATAGAATAGACTTTGTTTCCATTACTTAGCTTAACATTTGAGGCATGAAAAGTACTACTGGAATAGTAATTCTGTATCCTTACTATACTCCATAAGAATCCCCAAGAAAAATGAATAACCCATAGTATGACCCACGCTGATAACCAACCAACACAAGTATTTTCTATGGTTCACTTTGTCGTTGTACCTAAACTAAACTAACCTTTAAAAACGCAGGGATGAATCATCGCCACCGGTCCACAGCGTAGCACCTCATCGCATATAGCCGCGGGCTTGTCCAGCCCCTCCAAAGTGCATAGGCTGCGTCATGGGCCTGGTGGATCAAACTGTTTTCCGGAAAGATCAGGAGAGGATTGGTGGCTTTACGAGAAATTGGAGGATGTTTTTTGTTGCATGGTTAAGAGCTAAAAGCAAATGATCAGCTACAAAAACGGCGATTTTTGCAAGGTGGATTGCTTGTGTGACTTTTCAGGTTTCCAAATCACTATGGTTCCAGCCCCCTGAAATAGCACGGTTTCGTTCATTGTTTTGATCCTCTGTGCATTGGAGTTGGTCCATGTTGGTCCCAACTGATTTGGTGGAAAATCACATGGCAAATGCCAAATGCTTTTCCTTTTTGATGTTCCCCACAAAAACTCAATGAACATCAATCCATTGTCACATCCCCATACCAAAATCTCAACTCGGTCCCGCAAAATCATGTCAGTGAGGCGGTCTGCCCATTTGCTGCTGGGACATCATGCCTCAAGACAAGAGTTGAAGAGTTGAAAAAAACAACGAATACTTAGGGGCTTCGATCTCTTTTTACCACATGTGTATAGTTCTTACTGCTTTATAATAAACAAGTTCCCCTTTTATAGAATCCCCTTATATCCCCTTTATACAACCCTTTATCCCAACTTCTACTGTTATCTTTTCCTATAGTCTGTTCTGACTTTATTCATCCCTAGGGCCCCTATGTGATCTGTTCAGAATTCTTCAAGTGCCGGCCGATGCTGTTACAGCACCTATGTGCCATTCTCGGAAAAAAAAAAACATCTTTTTTCGGGGGTCACTATACCAAAAAATACTAAACATCAATACTTACATGATCTTACCCCACAAAATTAGGGACTGGTTGGTGGTTTCAACCCCTCTGAAAAATATTAGTCAGTTGGGATTATGATTCCCAAGATATGGAAAAATAAAATTCATGTTCCAAACCACCAACCAGGGGAAATTTTACCATCCGTATTATCTGTGTGAGTGATTTCTGGTCGACCGCGGGGAGGTCATGGCACATCGCCGTAGCACCTTGCCACCGAGTATCCCATGCTGGGTGGCTGCTGCCACAGCTGCACTTGCGGATGCACATGTTGCTGCATCCTCAGGTTCACAAGATGGTCTAGGGAATAAGTGGGTATTACATGGGGATATATTATATCTCTAAATATGTATACAATCACATATAAATATGTGTATATAATGGGATTATACGTTGATACACATGGGGATTGCACGGGGATAATTTTTTGTTTGTGCCCATAAGAATTGTGCAATATACTCCATAGTTCCAGAACTGTTACCATTGTTTGTGTATTTGGAGGGTCTAGGTATGGACGTACATATATATATATATATATATTATATCGTCTATATTATAATACCATACTTGGATTCATTTGATTGGTCTGGAATATTATCTATCACATTGTTTATCCATGTAATTCAAGGTGGTGGCCGGTAGTTAGTTCTGTTTGTTGGTCTATCCTATAAAAGCATCTATCTATGGCTAGGTCCTTTGATACACATCTGTAAAAATAATATAGATATAATATATAAATATATAAATATATATATATACATATATTATTATTATTAGCGTTATTATTGTTATTATCATTACTATTATTATTCTTATTATTATATATATAATATTATATGTATAAGAGAGAGAGAGAGAAACTACCCCAAAGTCCCATGTTTTATGAGACTGTCCATGATTTTCCCTAATAAAAATGCCATTTGAAGGGTATACAGTATACAGCACTAAGCTCCTGGCTGCACAGGCTGCGGAAACCTCAACCATAACGGATCTCATGATATCATGGGATAGGCCCCTGGTCATCTCACCATGAGCCAATATGAGTTCCAACTTTTGACGGCACACATGTCACTCATGTATAAATTCATGTACAAATAGGATCTGTTCTGATAGTTTTGAAATCAATGGTGTTCCTATGTATTTAATTGAATTACAATCCCCTGATTGTCGCCAATCGTCATTCAATAGTCCCTTCAATCTTAAGAAACACATCCAAAAACCTCCAATGCAATGGTGGATCCATGCAATTTGAGGTCCCATTTAGGGGGCGTGATTAAGAGGGCAATGTGATACTGGCTGGTGGTTGACCTACCCCTCTGAAAAATATGAGTTCGTCAGTTGGGATGATTATTCTCAATATATGGAAAAATAAAAAACGTTCCAAGCGACCAACCAGTAATGGGATTAGTAAATCCTCCAATTTCTTCGGCGATTTCCCTTTAGCAGATTTCCCAATCTTAGCCATCACTTTGAGTGAGGCCAACGCAGGTCGCTGTAAACATTCCAGCTATTAATCCCAGCCACCTAGACATAGCTCCTCTGGGGGACTCTCTGACATGAACAAATCACAGCACGTCAAATCCATCACATTCCCCCTATGCTTTCTTGGAATTGTTTATATGTTTTGAAAGTAGCAGAACAGAGTATTTTGATGTGGAACACCCAAGAATGGCCACATTCAAAGGACATCAAAGTATCATCTTCCAAACCCTTGTCAGAGGGTTGTATGTTGCTGTGCACCTTACAAAACTGCGTACGATCAAGTGGCTCCAGACCCCCATTAATTACAGTGGATGCCCCACACAAACAAATTGATGTCATTTTCATGAAATAATCCATCCATCTGTCTACCCCACGGCACCACGGTTCGTGATTCTATTTGAGCAGTGTTCAAAAACCAGGTGTCACTACTGGCTGGTTCAGAACAGGATTCCCCATGGATCCAATAGATTGGTGATATTTGGTGAGTATGATCCCCGAAATAATCAACCAATCGGGTTTTTGAACACTGCTCATCTGATCCCCCCCATGGTTTCCCAAACCTCCGCAAAGGCTGTCGATCCTCGTCGCTCTCTGCTGTGTAGACTTCCTGTGAGCCATGGAAAGTGAGGCCAAGGCCGACTGTATGGGAAACCATTGATTTACCCGTGGAATTGGGCCAATTCAAAAAGTGCCTAAACCTTTGATTCACGATATTACCCACAATATCATGATAAATATTGTGCATAATGTTTTATTTTTTTTCCTACCTTTTGATACTTCTTACATTTCCTTACCGAATTTCATGGGTATATCGAGGGTCGGCGGGTGGCTGGCTTCAGAACCGCCTTGCTACATGCGCTTCTTCCAGCCTCGGGTGGGGACAAAAGCCCGTAGCTGGAAAGGTGGAGTTCTGTTTCCTGTAACTTATCTGACACAAACGGTATTAATTTTATGCATATATAATATATTATAATATAATGAATGTAGTTGGATATTTCATGAATATAACATCTGTTCTAAAATCACAATTTTAATGAGATTGAATTAATGGGATATTTCATTAGTAAAACTGAATACAGTATGTCTAACCAGCTTCAGTTACTGTAAACCATAGTTAATGGGATATTTCATGGAGATAGAGGACCCACTGTTTCTTTTTCTTTTGCATGTCATGAATATAACTAAACAACTTCCAGTTACCATGAATTTAATTGGCTATTTCATGGGGATTTAGCCATCATTATTAAGTAACCAACAATAATGTGATCTATGGGGTCGGAAAATGGGTGAACATGGTGTATACGATCAACCCTCAAACGGCATTGTTTTTTCAGAGGATGTTTGAGGTAGCCTATGGGCCATCTACCCCCAGTTGGATAGCCCCCTATAGTATGAGGTAGTGTAGGATTGTTCAGTGGATAGCCCCACATGTTCCCATATAATCACGGATTTGTAGGCAATGATTTTTCAGATCTCTTCAGATGTGTCCGTTGAAGATACAGAAAAAATCAGCCACACTAAGAACCTGTGTGTTATCATCGGGCGTTTTCCAACACAAGGCCCGTGGTTCACGTCAAGCAGCAGCACCAGAACATAGGAGGCACAGCAGCGCCATGAGACCTCTAAGCTAGGATTTGGGAGTAACGTAACTAACCCCATTTCCAGATACCCCCATAGACAACCCAGCTCGGGACTGTAAAAGTTAGTATGGTTTGCTGAATATGTTCTGCTGAAATCAGCTCGGGTTATTTCAGCAACAAACATAAGACATTTACCAACAATCGTTAATGAAGAATGGTGAACTGACTTATTTCAAACATGATAATTTGACAGCCACAGCAACGGCTGGCAGTGGAACCTCTCAATTTTCAATAAGGCAAACGTTCTACAGAAAGAGGGAATTTCATGAATTTTCTATATACTAGCAGGTCACCATTACCAGGGTGCAACTCAAAGCCAAAAGAAGTTCCTAGTTCAGTAATGCCGAACACAAGTGAGCTGCAAATCTTGCTATTGAAATTACAGAGTACTTGAAATTCACACATATAATATATCTATATATTATAAATTATTATAACTATGATCAATCTGACTAGTGCTGTCCAGAAAGAAAAATGACAGCAAACTCACACTCCAGACAGTTCTGGACAAACCCGCTTGGATCAATTCCCATTCGTGCTGAATCACCCTAATTAATCATAGCTACAAATTACAAAGCAACTCCAATCTGTTGGTTGCATCACCATGTTTCTTTGTCAACTCCCGTTGTTTTCGGGTTACAGCTCTCCGCAAATGTCGCTTCGGATTTTCAATCACGTTCCCTCCCTGCTTGGATGTGCATCACACTTCAAAACCGCTTCAACACCGGTTGATTTAGTTAAACAAATCATACAACATAGTCCATACATTACTCTGGCTGAATTTAACCATTTAATCAGAGCTCAGGACTTCCGTTGCAAATAGGCTGATTCCCCCATAACCCAAAAACCACCAATGTTGCTGTGATGTCGCGACGTGAGGTTGTTGTCCATTACACTGACCAATGCAAGATACTCATATTGCTAGTATGTCAGAATATCCCAATGATACCCAGCACAGTAACTGACTAACCAACTACCCAACCAATTTACTAACTAACTTACTTACTTGCTTACTTACTTGCTTACTAACTAACTAACTAACTAACTAACGAACTAACTAACCAACTAACTAACTAACTAACTCCAACGATGATATGTTTGATGGTTAACTCCCCATCTTTCATGGTCTCCCCATTTTCCAACGAACAACGATCGTTGGAGAGGTACCGATCAGGACACTGAGGAGCAAAAGGCCGATGCCCAAAAAACCCTCAGCTCTGCGAGGACAAAGTCATGGACCCATGGGGCCCAAACTGGGCCAAGTCGAGAGTTTCTATGGGTGTTTATATATATATATATTTATCTATACATATATGTATATATATATATATATACGTAATGCTACATACATATATATACGTAATGCTACATACATATATTATATAATCAATTATATACATATGTACTGTATATGTATATAATATATATGTATAATATATATATATATATATGCAACCAAAATCTATCATAGATTGAAGAAGACTGAATTCTGGCTGAAATAGTAGTATTATGTGGTATTATGTGCTGTTTTTGTCGATCTTTTTCGGGAGCTACTATGGGGGTGTCGCGGTATATCATGCTTTAACGAAGGAACGAACAACAGGAAGTTGATGGATGTTGTCTGGCTTATGGTCATTGCATGGCTAACTTGAATACCCACAATAATCAGAAAGTGTTGGCTAGTCGGTCTAATTAACATAGTTAGCCATGGCCGAAAAGTAGCAGGTCAATAACGAAGCTACCAAATTCGACCGTAAGCGATTGGGATAAGAAACTTTGATTACCCGAAATGGTAAACTAACAATTTGCTGTGGAAAATCACAACTTTTAATGGGTAAATCAACTATTTCTATAGGCCATTTTCAATTGCTATGTTAAAAGTTGTTAAATTACGAGAGGGTACTTGCTTGGTTTGTCAGAAACTTACCAGGAAACCATTGCTCTTCGGAAACCATCTGGATCTACCTGGGGGGTCCCCGTAGACACCTCTGCAGCCGAATGGATGGCAACCGTGCTACACAAAAAAAGATTCGTTCCCGCGAGCCCGACGCCAAGGGACCCAAAAATGGCCATCAAAATCAAAAGACATCCTGAGCAGCTCGACTCGCAGTCTCAGGTGTGACAATTTTCAAGCTGCAACACAAAGATGACGAAGAAATCAGAAAAGCATGGAACACTATATGGTTCAACATGTAAAAGGACCCTATATCCAGCATGCTTCAAAAGATTTCAAAGCAATACCTGGTCCCATAGAAAATCCATAGAAAGAGAACAGTTATTGTCCCAACATTTTGTCCATGTCCGTCCAACTTGGGCTTCTGGCTTTGTTGGCGGATTGGACATGGAGAAAAACACGATCTGCGGAGGCAGATCGAACTGAGGGAGAATCGCTGGCATTGAAGGTGCATGAAGGTGCAAAGCCGTTGGAAAAATGAACCTTGACCCAAACATATTCTCAAAATATTCCCAAACTAGCCATCAGAATGGGAAACTGCAAGATGTTTTTCTAAACGGTTTGCATTTTGTTGAAGGTGTTTACCAGCCCCTATCCAAGGTGAAGGATGGTCACCTTGCCTGTCTGCTCCCTTGGGGCTGCGTGATCCTGACGTCAGGTGCTGTCTGGGTCAACCACCAGGTACCAACCAGAGTCGGTAACTGTGTGGAGAATATGGAGCTGAGATACTGAGATTTGCATAGATTTCGGATGGAGGTTTCCTAAGTCATAGGGGTACCCCCAAATCATCCATTTTTGTAGGATTTTCATGGATTTTCCATAAACCATCCATTTGGGGGTACTCCCATTTTAGGAAACCCCCATGTAGAACTTTATAGAACTTTAAAGCACTTTGAAACTTGTTAGGATGATGAATAGTTTCTTGGACGAGACGCTGACCATGATATCACCGACGGAGAGGCGCCTGTTGTTCATGCCCAATTCCATGCTCCAGGGCTGTACGACTCCTGGTCGCTACCCGTGGAACCGCGTTTAACACAAACGTGTTCGGGGAATATAACAACATATTTGTATGAACATATGGTACCCCATTCCATTCACGGGTTCAACTTGTGATTTTTGGAATCTACCATAATCTACCCCATTTTAACAGATACAATCCGGGAGTGTTCTCTTCAGCAGCATCATCCCATTTCATCCCATTTCCGCTGCATGAGCTGTATCATGTGCAGCAATTTCCAACTGAGCCTACTTCTTGGTTGATAGATTCATAGATGTTGATAGGGATTCCAAATACTGACCTCACAAGGCTGGGGACAAAGGTGCTGTCAAATGTAAGTTGTGCATGTGCAGCGTTCAGATGGTTGCAGCTTCTGTGCAAACACTTTGATACTGTTTGAAAATATGTGATGATATTCGAACATGTAATATATATATATATATAAATAGTATAATATGGGATTAACTTAGCAGATCTGATCTCACAATCTTTGATCTTTGCGTGGACGTTCCCTCAAAATACCGAGCATCTGGTTGTCTGGTTACTACGAAGAATAATTCCCCAGAACACATCCCTATGATTTGTGGCTGACTTGGATGTTCGCCAGTCACCAATCGTACACTCCTCTTGGACGTACATCCAGATCTTGGCAAAGAGACACAAGGGTGAGAGAAGTATAGCAATAAGATATAAAATGATATAAATACTTTCTTTACATGGGAAGTATGCCAAATGGTATAGTAAATATTCTGATAAATACTATACTATACTTACCATACTATGGTACTACGTGAGAGAAGTATGGTAAATCACATCAACTTACCATCAAGATCGTACGTACTCCAAAAGGATACCATTGGCTATAAATCATGACAATTTTGAACTAGTAGTCTCTTTCATGCGTTTGCGAAGAACTACCCTAAGTAAAGGTTCATGTTCCTATTGTTGTGACTAACATAACTTAACTATCATGTCAACTGTGTAGCCAACAAAAAACACATATACCCTGTGGATCCAAGTACCTTCTGAGGAAGCATCTAGGGTACGATTTGCGGGGTAAATACTTTTTGGGGCTTTAAATTATTTTAAATTCCTTCTCAGGGAGTACTTGGATCATCGATCCATAGGGATAAGAATCTTAATCCATAGGGAGTCCTTAAGGAAGTCGTTTGTTTCTTGGATCCATAGGGATAAAACAAACGACTTCCTTAAGGACTCCACTGGCCGACACCACTGGCAGGTCAACCACCTGGTCCTGCGGGGGGAGGACCAAAGCGCAAAAATCCCGAGTGCGCTGCGCTGGTGTTCAGGGCCTTGAGCCGTTGACCCAAGTACCACCGAAAATGGGCGAAGATAGCGATTCTTATGGGGGCTTGGGGGATCTAAAATGGTCTACTTGGAGAATTGAGTTGTATACCATACCACAAAGATCCACAAAGCAGGAAACATGGCAAATTGAATGAGTCTCTGATTCTCTGGATGTAACCAGTTCCAAAACGAATAAATTTAAGTGGGTCTTTTGTCTTCTGATACCATCTATCTTTCATGTCTATTTCGCAACCAAGATCCAGTGGATGATCATCTCCTGTTGCTGGGCTACCCAGGCCCCACGGTACAAGTCTCGTTGCCCCCGACTGATGGTGAGGGGCTGCTTGAACACCAACCAAATGGTATCCGTCCTTTGAAGCGCGGCTTGCGATGCAAAACCACCAGGCCTGCCATAATGGATTAGCGGTACATCTTTTCTGGGTTACTCTGGCTAAACACCTCATGTCAATATGACCAAGTGCTATACTATACTGTACAGCTATGGCCCCATAGCCAGTTCAGAATGGGATATAATGACTCCTGTAACGAAGATTCTATTTGAATAAGGTTACAAGCCAGTTATGACTGGCTATATGGCTATAGCTGTTCTGTGACCCCTGTGATTTTGAACATTCAGGAAAACTCCTGATCCTGAGCTCATGAGGCGACCCTAGGGGGCACTCATACCAAGCCTGGAAAATAAGACTGATCAGTAACACATATTCAATTGTCTATAAGTATCCCCTAGTGGTCAACCAGAATTCAAAAACTTCTCATTCCATTGCTATTGGATCGTGTTGCATCATTGTTTTCAAGATCCCTTCCAGAAAACAAACCTACATAGCCATGGGAAATACCTCCAGGGAAAAACATTGACCTTGACCCTCCAAGTAGCCTTTAAACGTTGCAAAAATCCAGAAGTCTTGGTAAAATATTGAACATATATATATATACATGTACACATGTTCAGACATCATTGACATGAGGATCGTGAAGGCAAAAAAATCCCACGTTTGAAGGTGCTATGCCCAGCACCCTCAATGGGGGTTTCTCTACTTTGGTGTTATTCCCAAAGCATCCTGAAAAATTATACGTTGTAAAGCATGCTAGTCGAAACACGCATGGAACTGGTGGTATCCTCCATTCTTAAACTCGCTGTGAACATGAAAATAGTGTGTGTGTATATATATATATACATATATTTCCCAAATTTTCATGTTTTTTTCACAGGAACATGATTATTCACCCATTACCCTCCGGTAATTTAACGGTTCGCTATGGAAAATGGACATTGAGTTCAATAGTTGAATTACCCATCAAAAATGGTGATTTTCATTGATTTTCCATGATTTTCCCATAGAAATCGTTGATAAATTTACCCATTAGAGGTGCATGGTGGATCTTTCCACAGGTATGTAACCGATGGAATGGGCTCGCCGAGGTCCCGTCGCGCATGGAGGAACGGTTCCGCTGCCGTTGAAGGCGAACAACGAGCGATCTCC